CCTAGCTGTTACCAGATTATAGTTAAAATAAGATTTACATTCAGTTCCCTCTCAGGGATTTTTTGGAACTATTCGTCATTCCTGGTAAGTTTCTGTTTATGGAGAACAGAATTTAAGTGATTTATACTTCAGTTTGCATTGCCAAAAGCTTGAGTTTGAAGATCAGCTAGTGATTTGGGGCTTTGAAGGTGATGGCTAAATTATTCTTAGCAAGAACTGTGTGTATTGTACATTCACAAGTACACCAATATTTAAGTATTCAGAGAGCAAAAATAAATAAGAATACTAAATTAGTCACATAGCATTAAAAATTAATATAAGATTGAGTCTTCCTTTAACTACATTTTTGGATAAGGGACACCGTAGCTTCATGCAGCTAACTACATAGGCTTACTATTTTCTTCTTTCGTGTGGGCAGACTCTGTAGGTCCTGAGGCCCAATTTCTAATGCTCTGACTGCCTGCCCTTTTTACTGGACCAAGTAATGCACAATGTGGCTCTCAGAGGACAGACCGCAGCTGTGGGTGATATTAGAGCAACATGCACAGTGCTTAGTTGGCAGGCCACCTTGTCGCAAGTCACTGAAACTTCTTAATGGTCTAGAAGATTGCAGAGAATTCTGCAAAAGCCACCCTTCACATCGTCCTCCCCCTTCCCTTTCTCCCCAGGATCCCAGAAGACATTTTGCTAATGATAGACAGATTGGCACTTACAAAAGTGGAAAGGATGTTGGTCTGGGCCACCATCAGAGCTATGTAGAGGCACAGAGCAGAAATGAACATGCTTGTGGCACAGATCAGAGGATCAGCTTTATTGTTTATCTTCCTTAATCTTCTTGCAGCTTCTGCCCCAGCAATGACACCCAAGATTCCCGTCCCAATGGTGATGCCTCCAAATATTAGGCTGTTGACAAAGCAAAGGATTCAGCTGAGCATAGTAAGACCATACTGTGGGAAAAAAATGGTGTTAGCTTATACCTACGATTTCAGAGGAATTTTTAATGGGGAACTTGAATTTTATTCCACTTGATCAAACCCTCCCACTCCCTCTAAATGGATTTAATCCCAAGCTTCAACTGAAGCTGTGCCTCTGTAACTGAGGCTCTATCCTGTGAAGCAGGTATTTTCCCATTTACAGAGCAGGTGTTATGCAGCCAGGCTCAAAGAGGACTCTTCTCAGTATGACCTGGCTTGGACGTCCAGTGATTTAGAGGAGACACAGTCATCTTGGCTACCCTGTGAACCAATCTACTCAGTCATCCCTAAATCACAGATGGAATAACTCTGTATCACAATCTGCTGTCTTGGAAGAGATCCTATCACGTGGAATTAGATACATCTAAATTATAACCCTCTAGTTAGCACAGCTGAGATGAGTCACTTCTCTGACTATGGGGAAACATCTACCACTTCCCCAAAGAGTTCAAAGAATACTGAATAGTTAACTAGTGGCAGGTCCATGTAGTATTTTCTGAATGCAGAATTTCAAATGCCACTCAGCTTTGTGTGTCTGCAAAAGCAAATGTGTTCTCCAGGAATGACATGTTCATGTTTTAAAAGTATGTGTTTGAATTGCTTAGAAGATTCAGCTTCCAAAGGGACTTCCATATATGCTTTTCTCTCTGTCCTAAATGAGATCCTAACAACAAAGCAAGTCTCTTGCAACAAGATCAGTGATGCCACTGATTGTTTAATGCATCATAATTCTCCTGAGGCAAACAGGGACAGGAGCACTGTGTTCTGAGCACAAGTGCTTCTATACATTTCAGAGTGCTGCATGGTAAGTTTTGTACACTTTCGTAAGCTTTCTCTCTGCAGAGCAAAGTAACTAGCTAGGATATGATCTATTCCTTTAAACCACAGTGCATCTACCTTTTAATTTCTTCCTGGCTGATTAAGAAGGACTCAATAATTCTACAAGAAAAAAAAAAGTATCGCTATACAAGATAACAAACTCGAAACATACTTGTATTCTCCCTGTAAGTTCTTCAGGATTCAGATCCATCACTCACTATAGGTTGATAGTGCCCATACAGATTGTCACTAGGCAGAATAACTATCTCAGAGATTTGTCTGGGAGAGGCAAGTTCCAAGGTGACATTAGTTGATCATGGAATTGTGTTTAGAAGATTCATGTGTTGTAAACTGCAGTTGAAATAAACTTACAGCTGGAAGGAAAGGGAACAGCCAAAACTACATCCAAGCACAGTTCAACTGGCAAGGAGTAGGAAAGTATAGAGGCCTAGTCCTGGGGAAAGGCTCCTATGGGATCTTTCAGGGTCTGAGGTTGCTCACTTATCTGTCCGATCTGTTCAAAAGTGTCTGCACAAAGACCTTGAATAAAAACTTCATACTGCCTTTTTATCTACCTTGAAAGGATTGAGACCAGAGTCAGCTATGGTGCCATTTGAATTTGTGTTTCCAGGGAGTCTAAGTGACACAGCCCTGATCCTTAAACACAGCCTGCAACTACTGAACAGCCAGAGGGGAAAACGTCCTTAAAGTATCCCTGGGCAGGTCTGGGAATGCGCAGCTCAGTTCTTCCAGCACCATCAGCTACAGGTCTGACATAGTTGTTTATCTTACGTTTCTTTACATCCCTCTGGAATAACAGTCTAAAACTAGCCTTATGCTGCTTCTGGCACTAGCTTATGCCAAGGTTATTTTTAAAGCATTCTGTAAGAAGCAGTACATGAGGTTAAACTATCAAGTGCTCCATTTTACTTCCCTGAAGACCACGTCTGCTCTAGCAGCACTACTGTGGAATAATAATTCAGAAGGTGGATTAGGAAACAAAACATAGGCTAATGCCTTCAGCTTAATAAAGGAAGTATTTAAACTGCATCTGTTAACAGCCAAACCGTTTAAACTCTTCAGCTTCCCTTCTCTGCGTACCCTGAGCCAAACTCCTGAGTCCACTCCCTTCCTCAGCATTATTCGCTATTAAGTAAGGCGCCAATGGTGGCATCCATGGGAGGACAATTGCATTTCCCATTGAAGTACTTGTGGATGACTATTCAATCCATCTGGTTACACTACAACTCAGAAACCTCTTTTGAGTTGACTTGGTGATTTCATGGCAGAAAAGAAAAAGAACCCCATTACCAGAGGACACACTGAAGGTGTGATTACTGCTTTTCCCTTTAATTGTCTTTACTTAGAAAGACAATGTAGTAAGCAGTTAGTTCTTGGAAATCTATCATGAAGGCAGAGACTGAAACCAGATGTGGGATGCCTCCAGAAGAAAGGCAGGGACACTTGTATGGAGGCCACTGGTAGGGACTCAGTACATAGAAGTGTCCCACTGCTCCCTGTTACTGAGCATAGCCATGAAGACTCAAGAGGAACACCAAATACATTTTTCTATTCTGGGTAACACATTGTAAGGAAAAAATTTCTCTTCTTAGCTGGGGAAAAGTAATCTCCAAAAAGTTGTGTTATGATTACTTCAAAGTCCTCTCCTGTTGTAAATTCCCCTTGCCCATCCAACATTTGATACTTATTCATGAATCTTTATTGGTCTGGACAGTCTCTGTAAGTGGAGCTCTGCTGACAGTTACTCACAAGATCAAATTATCCTGTTTTGATGTAATGATATGATACTAGACCAAATTCATCAAGCTCACTTTATGCTGGGAGTCACAATGACCTGGCCAACACGGCAGGAGTTTTAAAACCAGACTAATAAGAAGATAATAGGAAAGTTACCAGGTTCTAAACATACTTAAATGGATATTTAAGTAGCTTGGGGTGCACAGTCAATTTTCAACTGAAGTCTCCTTGCTAAAACTGCTCCTTTTCTCCTGCAAGTGTTCCTGTTACCGCTTCTTTCCACTTTCCTTAAATAGGGCTGGCAGCATCTTTCCAGTTAACTGAGTGATTATAAACAAACAAACAGGCGTGTCTCAGCATACCCGGAAGCAATTTAGTCTAACATTCACACCCAATTGCCTTCACAAGAAGTGTTCACAATCACATCCTACCTTCCGCCTTTGGAAACAAACTGTGATTTAGCACTGTGCAGTGTTTCCAAATGTGTTTCTGCCTTACCTGTTAGATGAATTGCATGATTCTTGGAGGCATGGTGATATAATGCCCTGGACAACCTGGGCCCTGTAAAGAAACAGCGGTACCCACATTCCCAGGGCTCCAGTAACGAAGGCCATGGCAGTCAGACCCAGTGAGGACCAGACAAAACTCCAACTGAAAGTCAAGAGAATGAAATGAGAGATATTTGAAAGAATGGGGTGTGAGGAAAAAGGGAAAGCCTACCTGCAAGAGCCAGGATTTCAAGCAATAACAAAACAATTCATTCAGACATCTTATAATCAAAATGCACTCCCCTGAAGATATGAACTTTGATGAGGCTTTGTCTATGAACTTCAACAGTAAAGTACTAATTAGAGAGAAGAGTATGAACTACCGATTTCATGTTAAATCCCAGTCCTGCTGTCTTGCAGATTTCATCGCCAACTTTTGTTAAAATAATTGCTGTGAAATTTTTGATAGCAGAACTACAACAATAGAGGGTAGGCAAGAATTTAATGGCTTAGTAGATAAATGAAAGTGTTCTGTGTGCAAGTCTAAATGCCTCAGGATGTTTTAAGTTGCTTGTGTAACCAGTATAAATGAGAGTAACATTTGGGTCTTCCAAACTGTTAAGATTCAGTGGCTGAAGCACTCCTTAACTCTACCTGGGTAAGTAAAAATAGACTCTCAGTCTGCACAGTGAGTTTTCAGACAAAAGGAGAAGCATTTTAAAAAACTGTCCAGATCTTGTCTCCTTCCTGCCCTGTTCTAGGAGAAAATTAACTTTTTACTGGTCCCTTTCTAGTTAATAGGAGAAAGTCCCCTTTGAGGTCAACAGGGAGGTATGAAATCTTAAGTCTAAATAAAAATGCTGCAAATGACCATGTGACCACCAGACTAGAGGAATTGTTAAGATATGATCTAATTCTTCATCTTCTAAAGATAAAGGGCTCTTGGACTTGATTAAAAGTGGAACCACCTGGGTTTTGGCCTTATGGCCTTATGCTTTGGAAATCAATTGCTAAAGGAAAAGAAAATTAAAATCTATTTTTACAACAGTGCTGGAGGTTGTAAGGACCATCTTTGTAGGAAAGCAACTTTGACAATACTCTAGTTGTTGAAATGTTAGAAAGGTTCATTTTTCATTCAGGACAGTTCATTTTTTTTATTCACTTCAAACTGTACTGCCTACAAATTGTGATCCAACAAACTAGATATCTAGTGTACTGCTGTTCTGGATGCAAACAGGATGCAAATCTAATTGGCAATTAGAAAACGCTGGATGCTCCAGAAGAAGAACGCCCCAAAGATAGATAAGGTCCCAGGAAAGCAAGTCTTTAGGCTAAAAGCATTGGTTTTAGTTGACCCCGGGGAAGCAGCCCGCGGGCACAGGCAGCTCTGGCGCAGCTGCACAGCGGCACCTGGTGTTCTCCGGCCGGACCCGACTCTTCCTCCCTGCCCCTGGCAAGGGCTGTCACGGACGGCAGCCAGAAACCTGCTGCAATCAGTATTTTACTTCGTCCTGCAGGTCAGCTGGTGCTGACTTTCATTTTTGTGTGGTTAAAAGGAAGAGGCCATCTGCCAGCCACCGGGTAGCTGGTCAAAACACATGTACAATTACTTTATAAACCGTACTGGGGTTCTACAGACTCTGACCTCTTGCATCAGAGGCACAGCAGGCTCACAAATACCATATAAACACTGCCTGAGACATGCTGATCTAGCCTTCCACAGGCACTAAGGATTACAGATAAAGTTACACCTACAAAATAACCGATCATCTAGCTTACCCTACATGTTAAAGCAAGAGGGAAGGGGAAACGGTAGAAAGTACAGCTGTATTTAAATAGGAGCACACTGTCATCATCACTTTCCCTCCTTCCCCCTCCTTAAAATGGGAAGACAGTAGAAGCAAATAATTTTTTTTTATCTCTTGTGTAGTATTCCTGTACAAGAGTGGAAGAAAGATTTTTATTAATGGTGTTTCAATCATCTTGTATACAGCATGTGATACAAAGGAGTTGCGCGGGATTTGATGGCCATATTTCTAATAATGGAATGGTCATTCCTCAACGGAGGGAACATTTGTTGCTAAAAATCACTTACTTCTTGGCTAGCGATAGGACATCTTGACACCAAGTAGTCTTGGCAGTTCTGTGTACACCTGGTTTCTCAGCTGCTACTCTTATGGTGCCAGAGATGCTCAGTGCTCTGTGTGCTGCTGTCCTTCTCTGGGTCCTGTGAGGGACCAGTAGAATCAGAAGAACCAGTGCTAGACCTCCCATGCAAGGAGTTATCTGTAGACACAAGGCTGGTTAGATCAAAGATACCTTTTTTTCTTAGAGTGAAAACTCCACAGCAATTCAAATTCAGTGTTAGAATTACATATCAGAGAATTGCAGGTATGTTCAGAAATAGAAGTGACTTGCTGTTTGTAGGCCATATTTGTAAATAAGAAGCATGACTTTGGTGATTTGTGGTGACTTTGGAGGAAAGATAATAGATCCTCCCTCCCCATCATACAGATACATGACTGCTCCCTCTGATTTCAGAAAAAACATGTGAAGAAAGAAAACCGTACTGCAGTACTCTGGTCACAGATGCAAGAATCGCTTATGCAGTCATCAGTGTTATCTGAATAACATGAGACTGTTATTCTAGTAAGCATCCTTCCCCACTCATCCTGTACCTGCTAGTTACTTTTGTAGACAAGTTAGGAGGATCTGACAAAGTACTTCCAAAGCACTAGGCATTCAGTATGGAGAGACATCATGATGACATGACCAGAACAGAGGAGGGTTTTTTTCTTGAAACCCTCAAATAATTGAAGTTGTTCCCAACAGCATTTCAGAAAACAATCTCTTTGTAATTTCCTGAAGAATTATACTGGTGCTACCAGTATAATGATCATTTTACCTTCAGTTTCCTCTGTTTGAGGAGGTCTTGGTGCACTGATAATCATTCCAAGTGTGTCCTCAGGTAAGAGGAACATCAGCACCTGCCTTAGCTGCTGTACAATTTCACCTATGCCTGCTTTCATTCTGCAAGAGCTAGGCCTAAATCTTCCACTTGTCCTGCAGGAAGAGTTCTCTTAAACACCAAGCTCATGACCAGTCAGACAGCAGAAAGTCCTTCCACTGCTCACCTCTTTTAACACAATAAACAGAAGGAATCCAAACCCCAGTGATGATTCTGAATTTACAGTGAATGGCTCAGCCCCATGAGTGAAAGTGAATTACTCACCCTGAATGCCCAGTGCCAGTCACCTGTGATATCTGCCATGCCGGCTGCTAGGACATAACCAAGACCACTGTAAGCAACAGAAAGGAATAATCAGTAGGCGCCAAAGAATTCTTGCTGGCTGAAATTACATGTCTTGCCAGCTAAGAAGAGCACAGAGAAGTATTCTGTCATAGTTTTCAAAAACAGATAAGCAGGAACAACCCTCGTAGTCTATGCTAGTCTAGTCTACTTGCCAGCCAGTATTAAAAAGAGAGTCTAACCTCCTCAGAGCAGACTTGAGATAGTGGTAATAATGACCCACATTCCCCTTGGAATACATATTCTGTAGAATGAGACTGCAAACCCAGATCAGACAGCCCATAAAGCAGTTTATTCTTTTCTGTGCTAGCCACATGCATTAAGCCCTGCAGGAATTCCTTTAGTTTTAATCTGCTTTCTAGGCTCAGCCTTGGCTGCCTGCTCGAATGAAGAGTATGCCTCCAAACCACTTAAAAAGCCCTTCTCCTCCTCTGCTTCAGACACAATGTCAATTCAACGAAAAGAGGAGAGGGAAGTGCCAGTTCTTGCTTGGGAGACATTCAATGGAGAGTTCTTGAAAAATTTGTCAAGTAAACAAGTATCTGAAAGCTTTTGTCTTCCAAAACCCAGAAATAAATTACCTACCTCCATGCACATATTTTTTTAAGAATTGATTCACTATTTTATTCAAAGCATACCAGTTTTCAGAGCTTAGATTCTTCCTAAAAAATGTTGGGGGGAAAAAAGCTAATTTTTTTTCAAGGTAAACACAGAAATAAGTCTAACCAGCTCAATTTAAACATGCTAAGCAAGTGACAAATCCTTTTGCAAGACTCAATGCAGATATACATCAAAATATGTCTAATCAAGGCTCAGGGTATATTGAATTGCAGGCACGGTCAGCATTTCAAAAGGCAGGTCAGTTACTAGCAAGAAAACCAACCTTCCCACTGGAATGAAGATATAGAAGATAGATAACATTGTGGTCCTTTTTCCTTCCTCAAACAGATCTGCAATGATGGTAGGTGCCACTGTGGAATAACTGGCTGTGCCAATGCCAACTAGTCCTCGTGAAAGAAAGAATATCCAGTAATACTGCAGGGAAAAGACACATTATAGTCCAAAAAAGCCCAGGTAAGAAAGAAAGCTTACTATTAAAGAGGTGTATTTTAGTGGATCAAATGTACCAGAGAAAATAAGAATTCAACTGCCTTTTGCATATGTCTGTATTCCCCCCACTCAAACCTGCTTCCCATTGCTGTGATTTCTACTTTCTGCACAGTAGTGACTTCTTAGAGTGACACCCAGAGGGAATTACAGGGTAGGATCAACAGACCACAAGCTTGCCCAACAAGCTGCTACACTGTAAGGTCATAATCAACAAACACTCCGGACAAAAAGAAGATCCCATCAATTGCAACAGTAATGCGTGGGTTCTCCGTTGCCTAGGCTGGACTCCACTAGCCCATAAAGCATTCCTG